GCTGTGCATGTACAGATGATGCTGGTGGTGATGATTGTGCTGTTGGACACGCAGACGCTCCTCCAGCGATTGATCGCGTATGCGTTCAAATTCCTTACGCACCGTTTCCTCCGAGTAGTCGTCGAAGCACAGATTATTTAGCGATTTCATTTTCGGTATTTGTGCACGTTCGGCCAGCTGTTTGAGACGCCGTGGTGAATTGCGATCTAGCTCCATGGAGGCCTTGTGGAATTCCATTTCAAGTATGGACAGATTCTCCATGGACTTGATTTTGGCCACGCGCGGCGTATGATAGTTCTCCTCCAAGCCCGAATCATTATCGCCTGAATCCTCTGGGGCGTATTCGTCCGATTCACTGGTCGTCTCGGCGCTATCATAATACTGCGTCGCCTGCAACAACGATGGCAGCGGCATCTCTGCCATGGGCGTGAGAAAATCCTCAAAGCCAGACAACTGATGCTGCTGCTGGTCGCCGGGATTCAGTGTGGCATTCGGTGTTTGGTAGAGCAGCTCTTCGCTTTCATATTCGATGGTGGTGCTGAGTAGGCTGACAGCTGCCTGCGGCTTGCTCTCTGGACCGACTTGATCTTCCTGCACCAGACCCAGGCGCAGTCCCAGGCCCAAGCCCAGTCCCTGGGGCTGTGGTTGCTCCCCTTTGTGTATATTCAATTTCATGGCATTTATAGCTCTCTGATTGAGCCTATTAAGTAGAGAAACGGATTTTCTAAAACGACTGAGGTATGTTTTTTTTTCGACGTACGTAGAAATACATTTGTTTTTGTTATTTTTTTTTTTTTATATAGATGAGTGTTAATGTATTTTATATAGTTTTACAGTTGGTTAGTTGGCCATTTACCCGTTTATATATTCAAATTATATACATTACATATGTTGGTTATAAAAGAAGAAGAAAACGAAAAATGTGTTAAACAAAATTAGCCAAAAGCAAACAAATAATTAACTAAATTTAAAAAGGGGTATTTAAAGTAAAAGCTACTATAAAAACCGGATTAAAAAAGCCCGCAACTTCCATTATATATTATTATATAAACTACATAAATATTGATTTTTATGTATAAAGACTAAACTAAAAATGTGTTAAATTTTGAATATGAAAACAATTAAGAAACCAATTCCATTTTATGTATTTTGTGAATGAGGTGGAGTGAAGAGTAGGTGGAGTGAGTGTTCTAGACAAGTCACCGTAGACCAAATAGTATTCCTGCAGGTTCTTATCATATATTCAATATTTTATTTATTTATCGATCTTTATTATAGATCTTGTTTGGTTCAGTATAAGATTGACTCAATCTAAGAATTAATTCAAATGGAATTCTGATTCAAATATTAATTAAATTAAAGCACTTCCTATATCAATATGAATTTAGTTGTTTGATCTGTTTCTCGACCGAATGAGCTGTTCTATTTTCTCAGTTATTTATGCTAAATATTATCAAAAGATTTTTGATTCTCAAACTTAATTTTAGTTCCTCTTAGATTTGTTTAGATGGATATTTTTTTTATAATGTTAACTTATTTCAATCAATTTATATGCCCGTCCATCCATCCATCTATACTCATCATTACTCAAGTTCGTCAGTTTTTACTAAATAGTCATTCTCAATTCTCATTACTTGAGTTCTTTTTATAAGTTAATCCACATGCAAACAATATTTTGTAATTTTGTTTTTAAATATATGTTTCTCTATGAAATTCGGTAAACGGCTATATATCTCTTCTTCTAGCATACATAAATAGCTGACCTCGACTCTTGAATGCATACTTGTTTATTTTTCACTTTTGTACTGCTCCCAATCAAAGGCTTCTCAATAACTCTGCATTTCTTCAAACACTTTATCAACTTACTTTCTAGTTGCTTTACTTTTCATTACAGTTTTCCAACTATTTAGTTTCCTAGTTCATGTGGTGCAAAATGCAGCGGAGCAAAAAAAAAGGGAAAGAAATCCGTGCAAATGGCAGATGCAAACTTGTGACCTTTGAAGAGCTCCAACATGACGTCAACTGATGAAATCACCAGCTGTGCAGAGTTGGCTTTTTTTCCCCTTTAAGTATTTGCTGTGTAAATAATTCTTCTGTGAGCTCGACAAAATTTCTACAAATTGCAGCTGCACGCGAGCATTAAGCAAACAGACGCACGCTGAATTCAATTAAAATAAGTTTTTTCTAAATAAAATTTCTATTTGGATTCTAAGAATCAGCGACAGTTTGTCTGCCTGTTTAGACAAGGCAGTGGGAGTTTGGGAGCGTGTGTGTGTGTGTGTGTCAGTATATATGTCAGCATTTGACCTTAAACTTAACGCAATGAGATATTTTTCCTAGTATATAAATTATATATGTTATTATATTTGTATATATTAAACTAATTTAGTTAATTATAAAAAGAAATACAAAAACAATTATTATTTGCCTAGACTATGTATAACTGCGCTAGTATTTAAATAATACTCAATATATAGTATTCATTTAGAAACTTGCGGCTGTCATATATTTATATCTATATATAACTCTAACTTAGCTAAGAAAAATATTCTAACTCAAAATAAGTTAAGAAAATAAGATAGAAAGTTAAATATGTATTGTGTACAGTGTATGTGTGTGTTAAACAGTGTTGTATAATAATACTGTTTTGCAATAGAATTTTGTTTAGTAGACATTTAGGGTGAATAGTATATGTGTATTTCGTGTGTGTGTATGTGTGTGTTGTGTGTGTGTTGCGTGTGCGTCTGTATGTGTATTGCTTAGACACGTCTCTTTTGTATAGATACGCAAAGAGAGCTTTAGCATATATAGCGCATATATAGTATAGAGAGGAGCATAACAAAGTTATAATAATTATATAGGTTTTAGATATTCGATATTTAGAAATTAAATAGCGAATTGTGGCAAAACAAATCAAATTTTAATTCGAAGCTTTATACATTTTTCAAGCTATACGTAATATGTAAACGGATATGAAGGCATTTTTGCTCTTTTCCTTTTTTTCTTGTTTTTTGTTTTGTTTGCTTTGTGGTTGATAACTTACCTAGCATGTCCCGAGTCACCCTCGGAGCTTTGCCTCGAATGTTGACTGTGCGAAAAACTACTATAACCCGAACCCTTTGACATCTGAGTGAAAAAGAGAAATACATTAGCAAACGACTTCTCTATAGATTTTGCGAATAATTTCGACCAACTGCTGAGAGATTGATGGGCTTACTTGACTAGTATTACTGGAATTCCTGGAGTGTCCCATTTCCATAAGCGCCGCTGTATTAACAGCGCCCACATTAGCGCCTGTGGTGCCATAATTATTGCTGCCAATCACACCCAAGCCGGGTACCGGTTGGCTAACCGTCACAGGCGTCGTGGCACTGGCTGAGGCAATCACATGCTGCTGCAGATTATCTGTGGTCAGCGTCACAGCTGATTCCGAGGACTCGGACAAGCCCGAGTCGGTGACAATTGCCGCTATCATGATCTGTGTGTCGAGATCTACTACTAAAATGTATGATGCAGAGAGTTGAGTGAATTGAGTTGAAGTTGCGAGTAGATATTTATTTGGCACTCACCCTCATCCCTGGCGGTGGAGACGGGTCGCGTGCCCGCTGCACTCACTGTGCTGGCCACGCCGCCCAGGGTGGCGCCACTGCCACCCAGAGGTATGGCTGTGCCGCCACTGCCGCTGCCCATGCTGGACAATGCTGTGGCCGTTGGCGTCTGTAGACTACCGCCACATGCCACATCATTGGCCAGATCATCTGCAGAGGGTTTGCTGGGCTTGTTCTTCAAACTGGGCGTGGGCCTATAAAGTGCATACGGCGGTAATTAGCTCACAGATTCATACGTATTTATTTCAAATAGTTCACTTACGCCTTGAAGAGTATATCCCCGCTTAGCATATGCATTTTGATGCTAACTCTCAGCATTGAGTTATCCAGTCGATGGCGTGCATCGTATCCCTCGAGCAGAAAGCGACGTGATGTCAGACCGGCGCCGGCGAACTCCGCCAGATTTAGATCGATAAAGCCGAGCTTGTAATAGCTGCGACCGCCCTTCATTTCCTTACGGATCGAGATGCGCAAATGGCAGGGATCTAGGACGCCTGTGGAGGCATTTGCGCTCATCTTGCAGGGAAACTCAAAGCTGCGATTCCATTCAACGCGATGATTGCGGACCTCCTCGCTGGTTATATGTATGTTAATAAATTTGAAACAAGAAATGCAATATTGTATTGTAAAACTAAAGAAAATTTATTTATTTATTATTTATAAAAACTATTATAATGTGTTTCGATTATTCTTTAAATGCTTTAAGTTCCCTTTCAGTAATTTTGTTTCAATATTAGTAACTAAAAACTTATTAATAACTAAAATTTACAAACCTGCCAAACCTTGACTGGCTTCAATACTTATAGAATCAATAGTGTCGAAATCAAAACGATAACCATATCGATAGATCTATGATTTTTTATCGACAGAAATAAAGGACAACTCACCGACTGCTGTACTCCTGGAAGGAGCCACCGTCCAGTAGCCGTATCTTGGCAAAGAGCACCTCATTGACCAGAGCCACCTCGACCAGATCTTGCAGCTGGACTTCCACATTGAACTTGTACTTTTTCTTTTTCATCATAAAGGCCATGCCAGGGGCGCTAGGCCCAAGTAATGTCATCAATTTCCTTGGCTACAAGCCGTTGCGTTGCGGCGTTGCCACCTAGTCCCAAAAAATGTGCAACCAAATGAGCTTTGGGCGGTCGCCAAGCACCGCCTCAAACAGGTGTTTTGAGCTATTTAGCTTTGACTCTAGCAGCTGCTCTGTTGTTCCGAAGACTCGAAAATTTTCCCTTCTCGTAATCTGTTATGGTTGGCTTTGATATTATTGTTCTCTTATTGTGTAGTAGTTTTTAGTATTTTTAGTTTCCTCTCAATTGATGTGTTGTGCTACTTGACAGCCATGTTTACAATTTGTGCATGGCTTGGGGCTTGAAGTCATACCACGCGTCCACCTGGAAGAATAGCCAAAGGAAAATCGGTATTTGTTATTTTCTATATTTTCGTCTATGCAACTTACAACCCAATTGGAGGAAATGTATGTGTAACTTCAATAGATATATAATGTATATATAGATATATATGTATAATGGATGAAAAGTGAACAGAAAAATCTTTAACTACCTACTTATTCTGTTTTCATTGTCTGTCAAAGTATTCCTTTCGAATCGGTCGACTAATGTCTTTGACGGCGGTCATGCAAAATGGCAATTTACGATTAAGTTAAAAATACATTTTTATTTCCCAGAACTCACTAGAGTACGATGGGAGCGCTTCTTGAAAACGAAATAAATGCTAGACCATGCACATTCGGAAGGGGTGGGCCAAATACATCGAATCTCATTCAATCAGATAAATGCCTTAATAAGAATGATCATTTCATTAACCTTCGTTGGGTACTAAATAATTCTTCAATTATAAATCGAAGAGTATACCTCTTTTATATTTATCAAACTCATTATCGAAATTTACAAAATATGTATTTTTACGAATCATTAGTATAATAATGGAGAAAAAGTATTTCCTCTAAGTTTTTCTTCTAATAATTTTCTCTTTAAGGCTTAGCTGACCCCTACCAGGCGTGGGCGACTGAAGAAATACTGCTTATGCTGCCCTTTATATAGGGCAACTTCCACTCATGCTGCATGCATTATATACTAGTTTTACTTAAATATAAATACCAAATGAATACTGCTCAATATATATAGGGATAACATAAATGATCTTCTGCAGTTCTTCTACGACCTTTGCCTATGTTAAGCAAACAGACGAAGAGACAGACACGTATACAGATAGACATACGAGCAGATATATAGGCGAGCAAACACGTATACGTAAATAGGATTGCCTCATTACACTGCTTAGGATTCAATATGCTTGAAAAGGCTAAATGTCGATATGCTAACTAGCTTATGTACATTAATAATTACAATTAATAGATGGCATAGTCAGTTTCTTCTGTTCTTAAGTTCTCTTAAGGACTACATAGTTTGCCTTCATTTCTGGCCTTTTCATGTCCCACAGGAATAGCTTATGTCATAATTTCATCACATCATATTCTATTACAGAGCATCTTTAGGTCATTCATCCCGGCCAATTCCATTCAATTATAACTGTCATCAATTTCGTTGTCATTAAAAAGAAGTTTTCGAGGCGCCTAATCGTAACGCTAGAATAGACGTCAATCAAAACGCAACAAGGTGAGTAAAATTCATCGCATAAATTAAGCTGCAGCACTTTAGTAATTAAAAGGGCCAACACGCAAGATACCATAAGTAGACACAGCAAAGAGAAAGAGGGAGAGAGATAGAGAGGGAATCGTGCCAAGATTACCTCATGATGCGTCCTATTTGGACTTGGCTATATTTCGCGTGCTTTCTTAAGTTATTATAAAAATATTTTTTATTTGTTGTCGGCTCTAGCAAATCGATGACGCATTATCATCAGCGTCACAATTGCTGGCGTTTCTATGTTTGCTGGCAAAGAATATAATTAAGAATATAATATAATAATAATTAAGAATGATCACAATGAAAATAAGTGCATTGCAGAGTTAGAAAACTAAATTCAATTTTATATATCTAACTAGCATAAATGGCGAGCATACAAATATAATAGTTGATTAATGTGCGACTCGTCGCTTCATTTTAGGACACTATAAAGTATAAATAATGCAGTAAACAGAAGTGCTCAACCTGTTATATTTATATTTATATAGATATTTTCAATAAATCCCATATATTTTCAATAGACGGCTATTGCAGAATACCAATATACTCTTTAATTTCCCGAACGGGCATCAGCAAAAATAAGTAAAATAATTATAATAACAAACAGAGGAAAAAGACAAACATGCACCAACATCATCTGCTAGACGCCTACGTTGATATCTTTTGTGAGTTTGCCATTTGCGACATTTTTCGGCTGCTGACTAATTTTATATATAGCACGCTCTGATCAATTCTAAGAACCAAGACAATGCTGTTGACGCTGTTGTTTCATTTTCTGTTTTCTTTTTTAATTAAGCTGCGTGCCTTTTTGCTTTGGCAACTAATCACAATAAACAATTAAAGCAAAGTTGATTTGAGAAGGGAACAATAAAACGGCACGTAAAAAGACCAGCTGATTGAAAATAGATTATAAATAAAGAAAAAGATTTGTACAGAAAGGATGTGGTTTTTCTTTCAGTGCATATTCGCTTTTATATAAATGTATACAAAATTACAAATTGCAAATGAAACAGAAAGCAATATATTTAAAATTTTCAGATCACTATGTGAATGCGCCCTCCAGAAGGGTTTAAGACTTTTTTGGTTTTGGTTTTGAAATTTTTCAATATAAATTTTTACTTCATTATAAATATAAGTTGAGTTGATACAAATAAATTTGATTTATAATTCTTTAATTCTTGTCTAATTATCAATATACTTATTATAGATTCATTGCATATCACATATATATACGAACATTCTCATTTATGATTATGTTGCTTTAAAACATTTTCAATTGAAGAACTTTAACTTTTGAAATACTCAATATGTTATGTTACCATTATTCAATTCATAGCGGATAAATAAGAAGGGCACGCAAGTTACTTTTAGGGCTCTCTTATTTCTCTTTTCAATACAATGGAAGTCCTCGCTTTAACCTGACAAAATTTGCGATGGGCAACGAACAAATCTGTTGCGAGCCAATTACGTCCATTATATCCATTAGCTGAATATGCCCCAATCAGTTGGATAAACATTGCCAGACCAATCATAACCGAAACCCATTAACCCAGTTATTGCTACAGGCAAAAAATAACCAAATGAAGAGATTGGGTCTCGAGTGCACACACCCCGTCATAAAATATATATATGCAATGGCACCCCAAAAATATCTTGCAGCGTTTGTTGTGGTGTGTTTTTTTTTTTGTTTTTGCACGCTTGAGGTGGGCTGGTGAACTTCACCACGCACAAGTAACCGCACCCAAAATAAACCTTTACGGAATTACAGAGACCATTAAGTGAAAAAGCTTAGGGAGCAAAACCTAGTGTGGTCAGCGGATAAAGAAACTTGCCGAGAAAAGTGACCATATGAACTAAATGACAGACTGGGTAACTTGATTGATCGCAACTTTATGCTGAAGATACCCTGTAGAGTTGTCAAATAATGGTTGGGCATATTCACTACGATTGATTAACGACTACTTAAAGAGCTCAAACATATTTTTGTTTGCCGATAAATAAACAGATTTCACTCTGTTTAATACATAGATATTATATATGGGCTAAACTCTCTTACGTCAGTTCAGTTCTTTTTCGAGGTATACCAGTCATTAATTCCTTTGGTTCTTTTAAGTGCTTGCACACTCATTTGTGGGTGCGCCTGTTAAAACGAACATCCTTAAGGCAGTACACAATGGTGTGTTGTTGTGTCCTTTGGCTTATCCCTTGCTGATTGCAAAAAGTCTGTGTGTGTGTGTGCGTGTGTAGCTAAAGCCCAGTTGGTAAATTAGAGAGTTCTAATCACCCATATACTGATGGTTTTTTAATGAGATCTACACACAATATACAGCGATATGGGAGCTAATTTTATTTGCACTTATTTGAAAATTGAAATAATATATTAAGTGCATTTGCACTAAGAAATTGATAGTCTGTCTTCACTAATCAGTTCCAATCAGTGTCTAAGACCTTTTTGGTGCAGAAGTCAATTAACGAGTGTTCACAAATTTACTTTGTTGACCTTTACCTTGCCGCATCATCATCACCATCATCCCGTTTATTATTATTAACAATGACGCAGCAGCAGAAAATAACAGCAAAACAGATGTGAGAAAGAGAAGAGTGCGCGCACTCACACTGAAACAACATCAAAATTCATTGCTAAACATACCACAGAGTGCACAAATATTTATTGTACACATAATATATATATATATATATACATATACATATATCTGCATCTCGGTCAACAAAGCATCAACGCACGCCGGCTGATGACAGCCGAACTGTGAACGAAAAACTGTCGAAGCGAATCGCGCGAATCAAGAGAAATTTGGGTGGGTATTTCAAAGCTATGTATAGCTTGCTAATATTTTGCAATACGCCCACTAAAATGAAAAAGAAAAAGATCCGGGCTTAATTACAACGTCAACAATATTGTGAAATTCGGTAGAAAAAAAAGTAAACCAACGTGAATAAAATAGAAATGTGATAAAGGTTAGTTATAGAGGGGAAAAACATGCTGAAGATAAGATCAGATGATAAAATAAAACTGAATATACAGAATAGATGAATAAAGACTCTTATATATGTAATACAGTATCAGCTACAAAAGGGTATTTACAGATTGTATAAAAAAAACGTGTATATAAAATATAAAATGTTAAAAGCTGATTACATGATTACATGGAACAAATATATAAACTCTATAAAGAAATTTCTGCATGGTAAAAATATCAACTAACAAAACAGTAGATTATATAGAAAATTTGGAAAATATGAATTAGGGAAGAAGCTGATGATATAGAAGGGACCCATAGAAGATTCATTAGAATTAATCTAGAAGGACTTTATTTATATTCGTTTTATACAAATTCATAAAATTTACTAATTTAATCCAAAATATAAGCAATTATAGTATAAATTATATACTAGAAACCAGAATTTATAGTATTGAAATATTTATTATTATCAACTACGTCCTTATGGGATCGTGCACTGTGTGTCGTTGATTGATGATCACAACAACTGCTGCTAATAGACTCTCTTACTATACTACCCAACAATCTAGCTCTGTGTTGTTGTCATTGTTGACATTGAACTCTGGTTTGTCAATTTCAACAGAAATGCAATTGTTCAATTTGTGTAATGATATTGCAGATATTATACAATATCTGAGCGATGAGTAGATGCATTCCTGGCACTGTATTGCCTTGCTTTGTTTTCAGCTTTTACCTATGTCATTTTGGCTTGATCGTGGGCGCCGTGTCACGGTCAAGTTCTCACACAATATCTATTAACTAAGCGAGACATATTCATTTGCCGATTGTGCCAAATAGACTGATTGAATTATCTGATGCTTATTAAACTGCCTCCCCCTCCTCACTTGCTGAAATCGACACAAATTCCTTTCTCTCTCTCTCTCTCTCTCTCTCTCTCTCTCTCTCTCTCTCTCCGTCTTTTTCTATCTCTATACAAAAGTATCTGCTTGTTGTCGGAGATCCGGCGGTTCGATAAAAGCAACGACAAAGTGATAAATGAGTTCATAGCCCGAATGATGTTGGTCATGTGGATGAGCGAGGGGCCGCCAAACAGTTGATCTGAGTAAGTTGATAGAGTGTTACATATTGGAATCTTTAACTGTAGTGTGTGTAAGCGCATTCGGTTTTATATAGATAAAGATATAGTTTTTTTTTTTTTTTGCAAACTTAAGAAAGTAAAAAGTAATATACATTCTTTACAATATAAAAGTTTTAAACCATAAATTTTGAATTTCAAAGATATTGAGATATAAAAAAAACATGTGTTACTTCTTATTCTGTTCTATATTTTAGGTTTTCTTCCTATTCTCATTCTACAACTTCTCGATTCACCCATGCGACAACTGTTTTATTGAGGAGCTCGTGCATTGTATACCCACTTTTCTCGGCCACCCATTCGTTGGCTGCAGCTGCTGCACACATGTTTGAATGATTTGCATTCGCTTGGCTTCTCGCTTAATGCTCGATGAAATGTTTTTTCTTTTTTTTTTCGGGCTGCCCCCGTTTGGCCCCTTTCATTTAGGCACTCGAAAAAAAGAAGTATTTGAGTGCTAATGATGTGTAAAACACAACACACATCGGGCATTCTTTGCCGGGGCAGATGCTCGCATATGTCAGTCTGGAGGTCGGAGCCGAACGAGTGTCGGTTGAGTGCTCATAAAGATAAGCACGGAAGCAAAAAAGATAAGAACTTGTTAGTGTTGTTGCTGTTCATATAGTGAACAAACTGCACAGAGCAACAACCGAAACTTGCAAAAGAAAAAATATATGAAGCAGAAGTTACAACGGAAATTAAGCTTTGCTTGAGAAACAGCTCAAAGAGATAACGAATAGTTTGTAAAAGTTTCTTAAAATTTTAACGTTTACTAATTTTGAAAAATTGAGTTTGCTTTGAAATGCCATATTTTTAGATAGCTTTTTCAATTTATTGAATTAATTATTGAATTAATCACAAAATAAGAACATTTTAATTTATAAAACTTTATAATTAGCGAAAATATAAAATACTTTGCATTAATTTAATTGAAAATTCTAAACTATTTATATATTTATATTTTTAATTTTTAGTTTTTTAATTAATTTAGATAACATCTTTTTAAATTCCAATCTATTTGCTTTGCGATTGCTTGGTTTGCCAATATTCATCCAGCTAGTAAGTCAGCATGATGTCTACCACTAAGTAGCTTTGCGATACGTTTTACATTACGCTGCAAGCACTGAGCTAAGCTCTGTAAAGAGCTGATTATTCGGCTCGACTTACATAAAACGCTCAACTTGGCCGCAACGCCACGTACTGAAAGTTCAAAAGAGGCCATAACGTGTCTTGATTGAAAGAAAAAAATAATAATAATGGATGCTTGAGTGATTTCTCTATTGTGCAGAGCGAGAGAGAGAGAGAGAGAGAGAGAGAGAGAAAGAACGGCACAGAGCTATCTTAGAGACGCTGAGTCATACAGACATCTAGAAAGACATTGACCTTGACCAAGCGAAGCGTTAATGGATTCGACTTTGAGTGTGCAATAGGAAATCACATGAGGCCAGGGAACTACGACGTCTTGCAACTACTACTAAGTGCGCTTTGATTTCACCTGATTTAGATTTGCTTGCACTTTTGACCTTTAAAGGTGGAGTAACTTTTTGGACTTCTCTTCCAACTAAATGGAAAACTTTTACTGCCATGCTCGGCCATTAAGTGCAGCAGCACATTTATTAGGTTCTCATAGCATAGTCCTGCCGACTAGGTGACCTTCACTGCTGGCAACTCCCAGCATCCCATGTTGGTAGTTTGATATCTTTCGCTTTATGGCTGTTCTTTTCACACCGCTCGCACACTTACCCACTCACACAGTCACACACTTAAAACACCTTCAAGTCATTAAGAGCACAAACTTAATTTGAGCTTTTGCCACGTTTATACCCTGTACTTCTAAAGGTGTTAAAAGCTGGAATTAGGCTATGATTATATTTTATATTTTCCCCTAAATATCGCCAATCCATAAAAAATGTTCAATTATCATTATTAATTTAAAATTGATTTAATATTTTAAGTAACATTTTGATGTTTCTCTTTGACACACTTCGTCTTCTGATACGACAGAAATTTTCCTATTTGAATATTTTTAAAGCCCAGCACTTGAGATATCGTTTACCAATATATTCTTCCATTTCTATATTATAATAAAGGAATTAACTAATAAAAATAATTATAATATGAAATAGTGCATTTAACAGTTTAGAAAGACCCTCTTACAGGGTAGCCCGGAACACTTTTACGCGCTAGCTGTTCGGTATGTCACCTTTTCGTCGTCTGTGGGTGAAGTGTTAATGAGGTACACTTTTAATGAATGCCACTGCCATATCTGGGGAAAAGAGCTCTAAGAGTGCGTTTAATTGTGTCAACTTACCCGCATTATCAGCGGCTCACAAGGGGGTGGAGAGACTGCACAGCAGCTGGCCTGTAAGACAAGCAAAGAGAGATCCTTGTAAATTACTGTCATCACTTCAAATATATGTATATAAATGTATAAATGTATATGTGTATACGTGTATACCCCCTCGGCCTGACCTACTTTAGTAGGTACCAAGTGCCTGCACAAATTGCGCAACAAATGCCCCGAGCAGCCGAAATCATGAAAAATGTGCAATGCTTGATGGGCGAAGAGAGAAGTGAAAGCAAGCTGGCGGAGGGGGAGGAGGAGCAGCAGGAAAAGTTGTTGTAGCTCTGGGGCCACAAATGCACCTCGTTGTGCGACGTGGATCAGAGTATTATGTGATAGGCCATAAACCAAGTAATTTTTTTTGAGCTTACAAACACGTAAAATTAATAGATAGTTAAATGTTATGTTAGAGGCAAATGAGTCGACTTAAGCGTACTACCAAAGCTGGATGAACTAGACATTTACAAATACTGATTAAGCTAAATATAATGAGGACTAATATAATTAAAATATAACTATATATGATAGGAAATTAACGTAATAGTAAAGGTAAATATAATAAAATAAACTACATATTTTTATTACAAATATAATAATAGAATAAAATATATAACAACACATACAATACAACACATATATGTATATATTAAGTTTGCAACTTTTATACAAGCTACAATTCTAAGCATTATAGACTTTATGTCTCAGAAAAAATATTCAAAGAATTAACACTAATTTTTTATATTTTGAATCTACTCGAAATATTTTGTTGATTGATTAGGATGAGCACAGCACTTAGCACTTTAATTTAAGACCCACAGTTGACTTAATAGATTTTGGATTTGTATTGGCCGTTTTTTCTATATTATTCAGATGTTTACTTTAGTCTCATAGCGCATTAGCTTGATCATGCTATGCCGACGCTCATCAGAAATTAATTATCAATACGTATCAACAGCTCTGCGAATTGTTAAAATATTGAAAATAAGGTGAACATTGAGTACCGGACTTGACTACCTTCACTTGAAACTATACGAGAAGTCTCACTGGCTCAACAATCATATTTAACTAATCTATTAAATTTCGCTCACACACAGATGTTAAGTACTGTAAATCTGTAATTTCAATTTTAAAGTTCAAAGAGTATTTGTTATTACAAATTGAAGTGTGATATTGAGCCCTAAAGCACCTACAAACTTGAGAGTCTTTTATAAATAATCGTTATAAACATATTTCGCTTTACTAGTTAAATAAAATTGACTTTATCTTTATATCAAACAATACCAATAACTGACAACGCATTTCGCAAGAGTCATTTACTTGACTCGGATTCGAATCTGCATATTTTTTATAGTATCAGTTTTTTTTCTTATATTTATATATGTTATTTAGTTATATTGTGTTTATATTATTTATTTATTTTTTATATTCATATTTATATTTAATAAATATGTGCTGTCGCGTCGAGTAGTAAAACTAAACTAAGCACATTTAGGCTCTTATCAAAATAATATGTTATAAATGAGGTTCCGTTTATGCCGCCCTCGGGGGCATATGGCAACAAGAACAACAACTACTTCAACTTATCAAGCAAGCGTCGACGTCGACTGTGACGCTGGCGTTGACGCCGACAGCGCTGACAGGCAACACCAAGAGAACAACAACTACAGCAACTAAAATGAAAGTGTTTCACTGTCAAATGTCAGACGCAACCTTTTTATATATATTTATTTTTTTTTGTGCGATAAACGACAATATTTCTGGAGAGAAAACATAGAAACGGACGCGAAAATGGGTGATGACATCATTCATATATGGGAAAACCAAGGAAAGCATGTGGAAATGCGTTGAAAACCAATTCAGAAAAATTATTGGCAAACGAGTAAATGAAGTGAACAAACAAGTGGAAAAGCTTTGCGCATTTTATTTATAGAAAAAAAACATAATTATATAACAGTCACATTGAAATTAATTGATAAGTGCTCCTAATGATGACTAATTGTTAAATGTTTGTTATCTACGTATATGTACATATGGTCAAGTTTTACATATTTTATACACTTTTAGTTTTAAAAACTTGTAAATACTTTTTTTTTTTTTTTTTATACATTTATATTTGATTAATTATATTTTTATTGTATGTATTTTTTTTAATATTCTTCTATTTTTTTATGCAAATTTCCATTTTATATGTATTTCAATAATTTTATTAATGACTTTTAAGCTACAATTTTCAGTTACAGTTATTAACATATTAAATATTTCTGTTATAAGTATTGCAATCTTCTTCTTTGGAAATTCAAAGCGTTATTTAAATGGATTGGAGTACTAATAATAAACCATATATTAATAATCGTTTTAATGTAAACAGGATATTCGCACAGTTAATCTCGAATAGCCACTAATGCTTTATTTATTTCCATATCATTTTATCAATAATAGAAAAGGTTTCGTTGTGAAATATAAAATAAAATAAACAATGATATGCTTTGTGAGGCAATAACATTTAGAATTGTCGATGAGCTAAGCGCCATCGAGAGAGAGAGAGAGAGAGAGAGAGAGAGAGATTCTGGTTAGACATTGTTTAGCGAGTACTACCAACATCATCTACTTACAAAATTCCCCCGTCTATGCCACAAACAATATAATCGATAAGCATTTCGTTTTATGGCATACTAATCAAAACAAATAAACACGACGCGAAATCGCGCAGTTGCTGATGTGAAAATTACAACAATTTGCAATCAGCTAAGGCAACAGCTGATATAGTATATATAAATGTGTGTACATCGGATGGATGCGCCGCTAACCACAGATAGGCAGATAGTCGGACAAGTAGATAAACAATACCAGACAGAGATTGCCAGACGTCAGACAACGTCATCATCAAAGTTGTCAACGTCAGACGTTAAATTCATGTTATTTGCTAGATTTATGACGTGGCTCCGACTAGGCCCACACAACACTGCTGGAAACGTAATTTCGATTGCTAAAATGAAAAAAGGAGAAACCAAAATATGGAATACCAATTCGATTCAACTCAATACGTTTGAGAATAGACATACTTATCGAGCCGAGCTTGATCTTGGTTATTCACTGGAAAGGACAAGGACAATCTAAAAATCGATGCATGACAATCTAAATGAACATTTCTCATGCTAATGGATAATTTGTGTTACGTTTCCTTAAAATTGATTTGAATTTTACAGAGTATAAAGGGTAATGGGTATATGGGGTTGAGTTGGCGGAATAGACGTTTGAAATAATATTTGATTTTACATCTATATATTTTATTTCATTGTTCTCTGTTTAAATTTAATAGAACTACTATTGCCTCTCTATGTGCCATATTTATTAAAATCTCAGAAAGCAAAACTTCTATGCTTGAATGCGATTTTTATTATATGTATATTTAAATTTTCTATAATATAAAAGCGGCAAATTTCCACCTTTGTTACAGGGTATACTAAGGATGCACTCTACAAAAACATTACCGTCTCTTTATGTTCTTATTATGGCATGCTTACTTGGCACAGTGACACAGACCATTTGTAACTTGGCATTGTGCCAAATATCGCAAAGCATGAAAGCGACAACAAAAACAATACTCAAAAAAAAAAAAAAAAAAACACCTGTAGTGAATGAATATCATGTAAGAAATTAATGCAATTTACAGAGCTGGCTAATTGTAAACGTCAAGTGACTAAGCCTTAAATACAATAACAAACATAGAAAGAGACTGAAAATGACTAAATAAATGTGTTAAGTAGTCAAAGGCCATAAACAAATCTGGTGCGCATTTTCATTACTTTTCATACGCAACGTTGACACCGACGCTGACGCAATGCCACGACCTACCCCCAAAGGCGTCCCCTTAGCAAACAGTGTGTGGACCGACAGGCAACTGACGGCTTCCGTTGACCCTGGTCAATAAACTAGTGAGGCAAATGGGTAGCTGCAAGTAAATATCATAAACGCGAATATGTGTCAATAAAGTGTACGAGAGGCGCATCGAATGAAAAACACGAGACACTCTATAAAAACCAAACAAGACAAATAGAAAGCAAAAAAATCCATGGTAAACGTTTGCATTACACTCGTTCACGGTACTAAAAACTATGGAAAATTATATTACTAATTTTATTTTATTAATTTCAGAAAAAAAAAAATTTAACGGTTTCTCTGTGGCGGTAGTTAATAGAAGATAGAATTTATATGGTCTATCGGCGAAGGTAGTCAAGACTCTTGTCACAAAAGTAAAGCATCGGCATGCCAATAGGCCTTGCAAAATAATTGCTATGAGTAAAACAAATTTTTCGATATATTAAATAATAAATTCTCATAATAAATTCATAAATACGGCAAAATCTGTATATTTTAATTGGATATTTAGTACACAAAAACCAATATACTCTATTCGACATGACGAAAGAGTATAACAACACAATGCCTGCTCATAAGAGATACTCAAACGAAGGCAGCTCGCAGTAGTTTTGATATAGATCCTTTATCTATTGTCTGCCCTGATTAATGACGCATAATAAACTTGTCTTGTTTAGTTCTAATGGATGTGTTTTTTGGCCAAAAAGGGGAGCCATTAAAGGGGTGGAACAAAGCATCAACTAACAAATGAATAATGTCCAGCAAAAGCAAACAGAATGTAAATGGCGTTTTAGGACAAAGCAAATGATAAACAAGCGACAATGTTATAAGAAAATATTTGAATTCAGTAATAGAAACTGTTGGAAAATCTTTAGTTATTATATCAGATGAATGTATATATGCTTGAAATGTTATTACATCGCATTAGAAATTTATAGCAAGTTGATAGAATTTGCAATGATAATAAAATTTAAATGACCCTTTACTTTCGCTTAGACTTTTTTTTTTTTTTTTAATTTCACAATATAAATACTTAATGTATATGTAGATTTCCTTGTTGTAATGGTCATTTGCTAGTTAAACCTCTGAAAGCCCAGCCCTTTGTACTCAGTGTTCGATAAAGCTGTACGGATTATTTAACTTGAACCGCGGAAATTGCGAAACAGAAAATATATTTATATATATTCATTTATCAATATATATATTATTGATAGCAAAAGTTGAGCGTACTAAATATTTTGTTGACATTATGTGAATTAAATGTGGGGAAGTGTATGAACTTTAGATTCTGCAGCTTTGTTTACATTTCTCGCTGATAAGTTAGTTGCTTGCCCTCACAACATAGTCATCACAATCCATTCCGTATGGGAGGTATTAGTCTGATAAGCGTACGGCTTTTTGTTTATACGGGCTCAATTGTAATCGGCAGAGGCATAATGAAAGTGTACCGAGCAGGTTTTCTGTCAGGTTATCAGCATTTTGCGTGCTCCAAGCGAATATTAAAATAAATAGTATGCTTGAGGGGGCGATAAAAGATTGATTAATTATTAGTTGTTTATTCTTTTTATTTTTTTCAAAAACACAGCAACGACATTGAGGTTCAAAATCAGTTGAGAATCAATTAGGGAGAGTGAAGTCACTCTGTTTAAATGTTATCTATGTGACATAATGAAAGCCTACACGCAAAACTAAATGTAAGTTGGCTCTAGGCCGAAACAGAACTAATCGATATATATTGATAAGCAACAGGCATGTTCGAGGCCTCATTATCTCCCTGGCTGTCCTGCTGTTAAATGTTGACTACTTAGTTGAATAAATATAACATAAATATAATTTCTAGTTATTAGCCATATGTTTGCATTTCCAAGAATTCAATGTTTATATGAAATTTTTAATAATTCTACTTTCTGAAATATCAAATATTTTCAATAATTTTTAAATAAAATATTATATAAATTTACCTTCATGTTTAACTTGCGTTTTGCTTCATAGCTAACTTATTTCTTGTTTGAGTTTTTAGCTTCAAGTTATTATTAAGTAAACATACCCTCCCACAATTGTGTTAACTTAAAGCAAACATTTCTCCACTGAAATTACGTTATATATTATTAATAAACATTGACGCTGACATCGAAGCCAACTGCTGCTGTTGCTCCTATAATTGCCCATTGTCCTGGGCTAAATAAAGAATGCATATTGCGTGACCGAGTGGGCGCGCTGTGGGTCTCTGAGAGCTGAAGTGTGGGCGGGCGAGCTGTGGTTTAATTGCGGCGACATTTTGAAATTTTTCATTGTTGAGCGTAGAACGCCCACAAGCGAGTGTGCACAGAGAGCTAACAATAACTGTAAAATGAACACGCAATGCCAGCACAAGCACATATGTAAATGTGCTTCTGTGTGTGCCTGTGTGGGTGAAGAAAATCGATAAGTTTATCGAAGTAGAATTAGATAAAGTTAAGCGCTGAGCTGAAGCGACTGCAAATCTCAAATTAAAAACGTAATTTCCGCCAGAGATTACGCCCAAAAAGGTCGCACATACATACATGTAGATACAGCTGAGCTCACACCGAGGTTGCACAAGCATCCGCCCCGAGAGCCGGGAGACGCGCTCAATCGGCTGACCAATGCCTCGCATATATGCAACAAATTATAATTTCAAATCTTGAGTGGGTATGAGGCGAGCATTAGGTTGTGAACAGACACTTGGGGTAGTTTGTAGGATTTTCTTTTCAAACTGTCGTGGAGGGCTTTAATATCACTTTGTGTATACCAATTGAAAAAGAGTAGATGGAGCATATCGATCACTTTAATATTATATAAATGTAGTGTTTATATTGAAGGCCATTGAGTTGATGATAAACTAATAACAATGACAATCAGTATGATAATTATAATCATTATAGAACTCTATATAAACTCTATATGACAATGAAAATAACAATGAAGACGCTGATAATGGTCAAGCTAATAATGACAATGACAATGAAAATTTTAATTTCAATGATTAAGATCATGACAAAAGTAATAATCTTTATAATGAATATGTTAATTATATTGACTACGATAAAAATGTTAACCTAAATGCCGATGCAAATAATAATAATAATGATTAATTATTATTTACATTAATAAAATACCAAATCTATAGGACACTAAAAATATTTGCCAATTAATGTATGCTATAATGCTAATGCACTGATAATTTCGACAATATTGATGATTATTCTGATAACTAGATATAATAACAAGACTCAACTCAGCTCAATTCAAGGGTATTTGTTAGTCGACCAACTCTCGATAAAAGCACTCTTGCAAGTTTTCGTTATTGTCTCGCTGTTGTCGTGTGTACGTGACATGAAATATAAATTGCTTTCCCGTCTTTTTTTCTCATTTTTATTTTTTTATTTTTCACTGCTATTTATTTGTTTCAGTTCTTTTTTTTTACTTTTGATTTTCATTTCGATTGCAGTTGAAAAACGCGCAGGCACGTTTGCAATTTAATGCGCTCTGCTTGTGCGCTTCGTCTGAGCCATTTGTTGACTCTGTGCTCCTTCTCGAGCAATCCGTCCCAATGGCCATAAATTGTGAAATAAAAGTTTCCTGGGGTGTAAAGGATTGCGACATGTATGTAAATACCTGTAGAGTGTGCTCTGTATTTTTCTTTTTTATTGGGAATATGGGTGTAAAAAATGAATAGCTCAAAATTGACGATGTGAAAAATGTGGAACTGTAGAGGATTCTCTTACTGTTAGAGTTGAAAGGTTGTCCCATTCGTTGCCTGTTATACCCTCATCATAATTCAAAAGGGTATTCAATTCGATTTAGCTCTCGCTTCAACTCTTCATACTTTATCTAATTTCACAAGAACCCAACGTTTTAACTAATTGATTTTTGAGTGCACACTGTGCCATAAATTCAATTTAGATACTGTCAAAACAGGCACAAACATATTTCTGCAGACACACGCCTTTAGCACATATAGATATTAGTAACAAAAAAAAAAAAAAAAAACATTATAGATGGTTTGCTGAATCATTATTATGAGTCTATGATAGCAACACTCTGCAATCGATTAGATTTGCCTGAAACACAACAGCCAAATCATGCACAGCGAAATCAAAAAGAGAAAAGCTTTAAAATTAAACTGAATCATGCTATAAGTATAGTCATTTGGCCGATTACAGTAGTCTCATAAAGATCAGCGTATCTCTCTATAATAAACATGTTGAGAATTATAGGGGGAGTGCATATAGTTAGTCATCGTGATCTTTTAGATATGAAAGAATTAAGAAAATTGCGAAATTTTGAATGGATAAATATTTAAGAGGTATCTACAGAAACAGTAGAGAGATGGAATTATAAATTAGGGCAGCTCTAGGAAATTGTATAAAGGTGTGACGCTATGTACCTATAGTTGATTCTGGTATAAATAATCATAAAAATAAATTATTCATTGGTATTATTATTATTATTTGAATTCAGTCATAATACTGAAGATTTGAATAATTTCTCGTTATTTTCCCGTCAGTCGTAAATTTTATACGTTCAAATATTTTTCTAATAGATACAATCAATAATATCCGCTATATAAATGGTCAATTTAGTCTACTATTCTAGCGCTTTAATATTATCTTATCTCAGAGCTACTACTACGGAATTTGCAATACTTCTGAGGGTATTTACAATCTATACTATTCTTATATTTATATCATATCATTAAATTCCTGAGATATTTCTGTGAAAAACACTCAACTTAATTTACGCCGGCGCTTGCTGTCTTCTTTTCTTTGTTTAGGTTTTTTTTTCGAGTTCATGGGAATTTCCATGCCTCCCGTTGTGGCATTTTCCAGGCTGGCGTAAAAAAACAAAAACTGTAAATATTGCAATTATTTATGCGATATTTCGCTTTTCATACGTATGTGTATGTTAGCCATGTGAAGAGTCGAGTTGGTTTTTCCTTCTCCATCTCACTCTCTCTTTTTGGCTTATTTTTCCAATGATTCAATCGTGCGGCGGTAAATGTCAGAAATTCTTACGCTCGGCATGCGGAAACGTGTCGGGGCGACCGCGTCGTATACGCAATATATGTATAGATGATATATGTATATATTTGGGTCAGCATGCAAATAGATCACCCACAAAGACTGTGATAGCGAAATATCGAGAGATTCGAAATTTCTTTTTTGCTTTGCCATGTTTTTTTTTTTTTAATTTGAAATTTTATGCACATTCCATGGCCGTCAGCTGTGCAAAACAAAACAAATTAATATTTGTATGGCTCATAATATAATTACCGAAAAGTAGGTATATATGTTTCTTTAATGAGTGCGACTAGTTAATTAACAGATGGTACACCAAGCATGAAGAACAAGACAATTTGCCAACAACAAGAGTGTCTCAAGTGTAACCGCATTATGAAAATATGTTTTTGTTTTTGGTAAAAGTATATGAAATGGGAAGGAAATAAACAATAATATTAAACTTAATTTCTGGTGAAATTTTACAGAACATACGAAATGTACAACTTTTTCTTTATGAGTTTATAGAGACATAGAGATTGCTTAGCAATTAATAATAACTTATAAGTTATTCTCCAATAGAGACTTTATCGACTTAGTTTATATTACAATTATGTATATTATATATATAAATTTCCATACTTCTTTACGTCCATTAGGGACACTTTAAAAAAAAACCGATCATACCCCACGCACACACTTTCGATGGGTATAACAAACTAACTTGCATGATAAAAAAGTAACTACCGACAGCTAAAGATACGACTCGGTACAAATGAGTTTTGTGTAAATACTTCTACTTAATATTAATTAGCTTGACTGACTCATATCTGATATTGTGTGCGTATGTGTATGTGTAGATCGTGCTTTGGCTAATTTTTGCGCAGAAAAAAACATTCCGAAAGAGGCATAAGGTGTGCTGTGGGCAATATAATGAATGTCTTGTCAATCTGATGCGTCATGGGCGAGGCCCCACCCGCCCACAAGTATTGCACAAAATTTGGCACTTCTCGAAACCCAATGCAAACATATATAATTCGGCTTTATTGTTTTTCGGTCAGGAAAATACCAATAAAACACATATCGAAACAATTTGGAAGAGAAGATAAGGAAAATTTATCACAATTCTTTGATAAAAGAAAATCAATAAAAATATATGCATATCAATAAAATTTGATGAAAATCAATAAAAAATTGAATTAAAAAAAGAAAGTACTAGATAGTAAAAATAAATTTGTATTAAGAGAAACTCCAAAACAATTCTTTATAAGCAACAATTAAATATCATAAT